TGCCGGTGGAGGAACCACTTGATAGAAGGACCCCATTAACCTTTAAACCTCAGCTACTCCGACTCCATTCGTTTCCGATGGATTGATGATTTTCTTTTCTTTTCTTGAAAAAAAATAAAAACACAGCCATTTTGAACAAAGCAGGTGATTTGATCCGAAGGATAAAAATAAACAGAGGGGTCGGACCTTCCAGCTATCGTGGACCAAGTTCGAGAGGCTTTTGTGCGGGATGAATAATAATGCATCATATATTATGCCACGCGCTAAGGACACCCTTAACATTTACTGCATTATAGCGCGTGTATTGATCACCAACCAACTAACCACCCATGTTCTTGAAAGTCTCGCCTATTTTTTTTATAAATATATATACATCATAAATTCAACCATATCTCTTATTTTCAAATAATCATGGAACCAAATCGCCATCACTATCTTCACACGCAAAAAAAGAAACAATAAATAAAAAGAGGACAGGAAAATGAATGGAGGAGGGGAGGGCACCCACGTGATCGCTTGGATGGAGATTATGAATGAGGAGTGCCGAAAACCCTGTAATATATATATATATATATTCAAAATGTTATTTGTGTTCGAAAAAGGGTATTTCATTATAAATAAACAAAAGTTGAACAGACAAGGCTTCATGGTGGGTTTGACCAAAAAATACGAACAAACAAATAAGACTTCAGACTCACGTACCCGGTTCCTTGTGCAATAGTTCGTTAACATTTCTTTTCTTTACTTATGGACAGTCTGCAATCTGATCCACGTTGGGAAAAAAAAAATCAGAAAAAAAAATAAAAAATTGTGTGTTTTTTTATACAAGAAAATCTTAACTGTAAATGGAAAAACCTATATAAGTATTTAATTAAATAAATAAAAAATTATTCATGCTTATAAATATATACAAACAAGGTAAGTAAGGAATACTGGAATGAAAAAACTGACAGATAAATAAAAGTAGACTGATAAATAAAAGTAAGGTATTTAATATTATAACATAGGTTATTTACTTATTTATATCTACTAATTTTATTTGTTAAAATAAATTTTTTATTTAATTTAATGTTAATAGAAATAAATACATGTATAAAATCTATTGAATAAAATTAAAGATAAAAATATCATGTACACATATTATAATAAAAATATTATTGCTTTATATGAAAACTAAGTAAAAACAAAATGATATTTAACCAAAGAATAAATTGGAAAGTTGAGATAGATGTAAATGTAAATATCTAATATTGAAATATAAGTCATAGACTCAATTGTATATTAATAACATTGTTTATTGGAATCAAAATTTTATCTAATGAAATAAAAAAAACATGCATAAATAATAATGGAATAAGATTAAAAAGAAAGAAATTTAAGTAGGACAACATAGAAAGAATATCTCCTAAAATCATAAAAAGAAAATTGAAAATGTATTCGTAAACTAAATAAAAAAATTAAACCACATGTTATTAAGAAAACATCATAAGATTTTGTAAACAAAAAAAATAAAAAAATCAATAAAATTCAGCATTAAATAATAAAATTAAACGAGAAAAAAAGAGTTAAAAAACAAATAAACCCAAAAATAGAAGCCAAGCACGCCTAGGCCCCCCGCCCCCCCTCCTGGGACGTGCCTAAGCTAAGTTTTTCATTTTTATATTTTTCAAGGAGAGGACAGCGTATTTTTCTGAGAGAAAAAAATGGCGGCAACCCGGTTTCAGCCTTTCAGGCGACTGCAGGGTTGCAAAAAATTCAAACCACGGGTTTTTATCTGGTCGAAAAACTTAATTTTTAATTATTTAATATTTAAAATAACTAGAAAACACTATATAAACCTTATTAAATCTATTTATTATCTAAAATAACCCAAACAATAATCCGAAAAGCCAAAATCAACCTAAAATTAAAAACTTTACTAGCTCGGATCTATTATTTCAAAGTAATAATAATAAAATATTATTAGATAAAACTCTTATCATCGAATGAAATTTATTAATACAAATTAATTTTTTAATACAAAAATTAATTTTTTTAGTTAAATCAGTTTTAACTGGAGTTTTCTCTCTTATCTCTCAAAATCCAAAAACTTGTTTTTTTTCAAATTAAGAACTGAAAAATAAAATAAAAAATGAAGTTTTGAATAAAAAATAAAATATAAAAACTAAAAGAAAAAATTTAAAAAATATAAGAACCAAACAAAACTTTCCACATAAACTTTGACACGAACATCAATTTTTCATGCATTTTCAACTTTGATCCTCCAATCTTGTCCTTGTTAATAAATCAGAGCTAATTAACCATTAATTTGCCAACAAAAAGACTTACTCATGAAATAACATTTTTAATGATCAAAGTTAAAAACAAATCACTATAGAGCCACGTGGCCATCAATTTAGCCAAAAGAAAAGTTGAGATCTATTTAGAAATATGACCGAGGTTGTTATTTAAATATTTTTATTTAAAAATATATTAAAATATTTTTTTAAATTTATTTTTAAAATCAGTATATTAAAATAATTTAAAAAATAATAAAACTCGAAAAAATTTAAAAACATGGTTGAAAAACAATACCAAACAAGACTTTAATAAAAAAGGAACAACTTTAACAACTATACTAAAAAAATTTACCACCGCCATATTGAATCGTGTATGACAAACGACATGGGCACCTTTTAGAAACCGTTTGGAACAATGTTTCAGACAGATAATATTTTCATATAAAAAGATAAATGGAAAAGGATACCCTCTTTGAAAGTTAATTAAATAAATGTTGTTATTACTTTCGAATTTGACTGTTTAAAAAACTCAAAAAAGGTACATAAACGGGCTCTTACTCCCTGGGCAAAATACAACTCTTTTTTTCTCAGAAAATAATTATCTCGCCGAAATCAAAAAAATAAAAAATTTACTACTTTCCTTTATGTTAAAACTGTATGTACAAAGTCAGTTGAAAATGCCTCTAGTATTGAATTTTTTAGATTTTTAGTAAAACAAATCCTATACTTTCCTTTTTTTCCTATACAGAATTTTGCGAATCTCCCATCTGTTGCAGGCATACCTTACTTACCCTTCAGACGCAGTCCTGGTGCGCATTTGCACGCCAAAAAATTAATGTACACAGGCATCTTCCAAATGTTAACTCTTTTGTCGAAGCTCTGATACAGATAAAGAACCGATGAGTCCGTTGCAATAAGAGAGCTCCAAAAAGGGAGTTGCACGACTGGGAGCCTCCAACTCCCAAATTGAAAGTAATTTCTCCATTTGAACTTCATTGCAACTTCGTATGCAAAAATCATCTCGATGCCACCAACCAATTCCTGGTATTCAAGCAAATCCAAAAGCATATGCAATGTATGCAGTGATCACCAGACCATAAGCTTAAATGAGACGAGATATTATGGCAACTAACAATAATTTCTCACCTTTGAACCAGGAAGCTGGTCCCTTGAGGGTATGATCTCCCACAACCTACCCAAAAGCACCCCCAACCCTTGTAGATATTGCAGGAATAAATTGGACCCAACGGATATGCTGCAAAAGCAATCATCTTGACTTGTTTATCAGTTTACCTTAGTCATTAGTGCAGCCCCACTTTTTTGTTTCACATTCTGTTTAGCAGAAGCAGCTGGCATAAGCAGCCTGAGTTGGGAACTAGGTCCGGATGAGTTTGGCAGGTGCGCATCAAAATGAGTAGCAAGTTTCAAAAGGCCTTTTCGCGCAGTAGGAGACAGCATCACAAATTCAGGGAATATATATATGGCATCACTACCCCAAAGTTCAAAAAGAATTTGCGGACAACCACCAACACTTCTAAGAGTCCCTCTTTCCTATGATCGCTGAGGAACCCTGCTTCTTCTGTATACCATATTGCCAGGCATCTCTTGATTTATCACCTGATTGATCAAATCCATCTACCGAACTGTCCACTGCTGGCTTAAAAGGCCTGTAACTCCCATTCCTGGAAATTACAGATGCACCTGAATCCTCATCGTCCTCTGATGGCATCCTTGATTTGGATTCCATGTGCATATCAAATGATCTGTGTCTCCGGCCACCTAACTTCAAACCCCTTACATTGGAAGAACCTTTCCCCAGTACTCCTTTTGAAACTAAAAAATCTTTGGGGAGGGAGTCCATATTCATATAACATTTTCTTGCTTTAGCATCAGAAATTAATGCAGCCCAGTCATCCGATCGCACAAGAGAATTGGCATTCCCCATGACCTGTTGAGAAATCAAGTTCAGTAACTTGTTAGACACAGCTTGTGGGTGATGGCACAAATGACAAGCTAAAAAATGAAATGCCAAGGACAAAAAAAGGTGTGACAGGGAGTGCAGGTAAAAAACAAAAGACAAATCATACCCATAGAGCCCTTCTGGCACGGGTAAGAGCAACATTCATTCGCCGGATATCACCAACAAAGCCAACACCGTGATTTGAGGCCCGTACACAAGACATAATAATGACATCACGCTCCTGGCCTTGGAAAGCATCAACAGTATTAATATAGATATCTTTCCCTTCTTCAGACTTTAAAACAGCTAAAAACTCTTGCTGGAGGCATTTCAACTGCAACTTATATGGAGTTATTATGCCAACCGAGATTCTTCCCATGCCCAAGGATTTTAAAGATTTCTGAAGATGCTCATACAACTGAAGACAAAATTGTGCTTCATGAACGTTCTGATAAGATACCGATCCACCTCTGTGTGACTCCCGCCCATGAGTAACATCATAGAATAGATAAGGTCTAAGTAAAGGGTCCTTGTAGTATGTTTCATCAGGTAAATTAACAACACTTTCACTGTCAGTGAGACGTCCTTGGTAAAAGTACCGTGAAGGGAAATCTCGTATTTGAGGATGCATCCTATATTGTACAGATAATAACATTGTTGGGCACCCTGCTTGCTGAAACCTTTCGAAAAGACTTCTACTGTATAACAAGGTTCCAGCTGCCTTACTGATAACTGTTGCAGGAAGCTGCTGAGGATCGCCAACAAGAACACACCTTGCAGCACCAAGCGCGAGTGGAGGAAGAACAGCTACTTCGCTGGCTTGAGCTGCCTCGTCAATAACTACCATATCAAAACCATGAGTGAGCCGAGAGAACAACTTACGACCACTGCTTGAGACAGTAGTGAAAACAATCTCAGCCTCATTGGCAAAACTTGCCTCTAGACTAGCACGGGCTTCTTCCAGATTAAAATTGCTACCAGCACGAAATCTGGGTTCTAAAATGAGAAGACGAGAAATCTCAACTAGAACTTTATCCCTGCTTTCAACAGCAGCTGCAAGGTTCTGAAGTAATGCATCTCGGTTTTGGTCCCTAGCCATGAGGATATCAGGATCAACACCAACAGATCCTTGGGAACGACCGTCCACTGCTGCAACATTAAGCTTATTTTGAAGGTCAGCGATGTGTGCCGAGAAATGAGCTTCCTGAACTCTTAAATCTTGCATCCATTTTGAAATTTCTTCGCGGCTCTTGATTAAAAGTTGTTCAGTTCTCCGCTCAACAGAAACTGCCTGAGCAGCACGTGATTGTGAATCAACCCCAACTCTGGCCACATCAGGCCTGTAAACTTTCATCTCACCATCAATAAATCCGCGATCAAGAACACGTGCAAGAAGTTCATCAGTTGCAGCGTTAGAAGGAGCACAGACTAACATTCTGGGCTTTGGACAGAGTTTTGAAAGGGAGCGGAAGAGATTCTGGTCCATGTTATGAAGAACTTCATCAATTGACCCCATAGCAATATTGTCAGGATTGCTTTCATTGGCATGCTTATAACTCTGCGGTGCCAGTTTCTTAAGCAATGAGGTATAGTAATGCTGATACTGAACCAGATGGATGACATTTAGCATTCCCCAGACAGTATGCGTCTTACCAGTCCCTGGAGGCCCTTGTACAAGAGTAAAGGGCCATGGTTCTTGCCTCTTAGTTACCCCACTACTTGTACCAGCAGCAGTATGCATTGCAGCCCACTGGATTGCAGCCAGCTGGGGTCCATTGAATGTCCTACGCAAATGGTCAACAAAATTCTGTGTAAAGCATTCAGGCATGGCTGGGGTCTGCTGCTCATATTTTGGGAAGTGATCTGGACTGGGCTTTAGGATTGCAGTTTGCATCTACCAGGATGGAAATAAAACTTTTAGTTTCCTGTGTTTAAAGGTGCATGTATTGAATATGAAGCAAAGACAAAACTTGGTATTCATAAAGAGAAAAATTTGTTACCTGTAAATTAAGACGGCAAAATGCATGCAAAGCAACATACTCCCGCTGGGTGGTTGCAAGCGAACCAAGGACAGTCAAATACCAGGTGCCTCTAGGTTGAAATTTCCTCAAAATATGATCCTCATCAGCCTTTCTGGTGAAGGAAAAAGCATAGAACAAGCAAGCAAATAAAAATTATGAAATACAGAGAAAAAAGTCTGATAAGATAAAGAATTCTGGTGACTTAAAATCATTCAAAGCAAGCATAAATACCACAAAACAAATTGAGATTTCAGAAATAACCTGTGAGGATCATAGGAGTCCCCTACATAAAAGTGAAGGATTGCACCAGGAGGATCACGAGAATCCAAAGGGATGTGTCTTCTAACAGTGCCAGCCACATGTCCACTGATCTCAGGCTCTTCTTCATCTTCATTTGATGACGAGGAGTTGTTCCTCTTGGATCTTACTGCTTGACATGATGAAAAATAATCTTTGCATATCAGAAAACCAAAATGCACTTCTGTCAATTCAACCAAGTCATAACGAACCTATTCCAGCCCTTTGAGTAGAAAGAACTGCAACATCACCCTCCTTGAATGTCCACTTGCACTCATTTACTGGAAGAATGATGACATCATACCATCCTGTGGTCACAAGTATTTTTCAATCAGTCAATAAAAAGGACAGATATACACCACTACACTAATAATTTGACACGATACCTCTTTCCCGCCTTTCAATGCTCTTTATACGAACCATAACATGTGCATTGGTTTCAGCTGACTCCTCCCAGGTGCTGTAAAGTTGTGCTCGGCATTCCTCAAAAAGCAAAGGCTCAAATACTTTTACATATTCTTCCACAGACTCAAAGTGACCAGGAACACATTGGAGCTCAGAGTCCTCTGGTGCACAGTAATAAAACAAAATATGATTCAAATAATACAGAGGCCAAAAAACACATGGAAAAAGGACACAGCTCTCAGAAAAAATATATGTCAAGAATCAACATCCATGTATTTTCTCAATGGATATATACAAGGTGGTTAAATAGGAAGTAGCTGCATAGAATCAGTAAAAAAATATGTTTAACGTTTTGATCACCTCCTAGGATACATAAATTGGCAAGCAAACCTCTATCAAACTTGTTTGCTTCTATTTAGAAAAATTATGCGAATAGCAAACAAGAAAGGAAAAAAAATGCACGTGCAGCCCTGCCAAAAAGGAAAGAAAAAGATGATGGCTGTAAATTTAAATGGCAATAACTCAATAAACCACAAGTTTATTCCATACAAGAGGCTCTCCAACAGTTGGACCTCGCCAGCCAACCACACGAAGCCATTAAATCTCCTCTGGCATGCATGGCCCCGGCCCCGAGTAATACAGACATCAGCTTTTACTTATTAAGGAGGAGCGCAAAAAAACCCTAGCTGATCCACAATTCTCTACTGTGAGAGAGAAACTGGAGGATGATACAAACTAGTAAAAAAAATATAGGAAACAAAATCGGAGATGAAACTAATTTGTCCAGCTTTTATGAGTTACTGACCTGCAAACTCTTCTGGATACATCACTAATCTGTCCTCTACTATTTGTACTTCTGAGCCCCTCCTAAAGACTTGAAACAGATGCAAAATGCATCTCTATTGTGAGAGAGAAACTGGAGGATGATACAAAATCCACACGGCCAAATATTCCAAACTAGTAAAAAAAATATAGGAAACAAATCCAGAGATAAAACTAATTTGTCCAGCTTTATGGACTACTGACTTGCAAACTCTTCTGGATACATCTCTAATATGTCCTCTACTATTTGTACTTCTGGCCCCCTCCTAAAGACTTGAAACAGATGCAAAATTCAGGTCATATGTTCTATCTCTTCAGCCCAAAAACCAAACAACAGTCACAGATAATGCATGCAGCCATGTACATGAATGGATAAGTATATATTTTGTTTAATACCTGGGTGATGCCAAAACTTCTCATTAGTCACCTCCCGTATGAGACGCTCCACTGATGTGTCCTGGTAGGAGGTACTGGCTACAGTTGGCTTTTTCACAGGAAGGTATTTCTTGTTTCCCAACTTTGAATCCATGGAACTTTGGCTGGTAAGAGCAGGCTTCCTGTTAGAGAATTGTGAATTTTTTGGCTGCCTTGAATCAGCAGGATGCTTCCACGAACTCTCGGCAGGCTCTCTCCATGAATTCTGTTTCGGGATAGGTGGCAGGTGTGAGTCTACAGAAAAATCAGAGTCGCCATTCACTTTCCTATTCTTAGCTGGTTGTACGGAATTTACACTGCCAGTACATTCAGATTTTGGTAGACAAGACTCCACAGAATTGCCACCACCATTACATGGCAGATCAGCTTGTTTCTGATCCTTAATTATGGGATGGCTAGGCCTTTCTCCAACGCGTTCAGCAGGTGGAGGACCATTACGAACTTCCTTCACAGTACGAGTGACAGTTGGCTGCCTTCTTGGTGTTGAACTTTTCATGCTTCCAGCTTGCTTGGCTTCATCTATATTAATCAACATGGTCTGTCTATTACGCTTTTTACCCAGCATTGCTTCTTTGTGTTGATCTATCTTCCTCTTTCCCAGATTATTTGAAGACTTAAGTGCATGGCTTGCTTCCATACCTCTAGCTTCACATTGTTTTGAGACTGAGGCAATTTCCTCCTGACCATCCATTGATACATCACCATTTGCATTGCCATTTGAAGTTCGACTATTGTTACTTTTATGATCATTCTGACCTTGACCCAGTCCAGGTGAAACACGGCCACTACTTTCAGCATTGGCATTATCAATAACCTTAACACTGCTAGAATCATTCATGGAAACTGCACCAGAAGTACAGCCTTCTAATTCAGACTTTACTTGATCTTGAGAAGCTTTGCCCTGTTCGCACATACTACTGCCAGCACAGGCATCAGCAGAGCCCTCTGCATCAGACCACTCACCTTCTTCTCTTTCAATGGCCTTAATGTTTGCAGAACCAGAAACTAGAGATGGTGCTTCTTTCTTATCATCATCAGTAATTGTTTTTGCTGGTGATGCAAACTTGGGATTCTGTTCCCCAGCCATCTTCTTTTCCAAACCCATTTCAGGGCCATAAGCAACCTTGTGTCGAACAAAGGGCTGAAAACCAGATACAGATGATGCATGTGAAAAGGCATGATTATTGTTTAATCCTTTGGGGCCCATTGATGCTACAAATAAGTCAGAATGGTGGGGATTTGCAGAAGGAAGTGCCTTGTGTGGCTGCAAGCATACAACATGATCGGTCTCCTCATCATCCTCAGCTGGGGGTTCATTAAGATCAAATACTGGCCTTCCTCGAGAACCCATTTCATGTGTAAATGCATACAAACTGAATCTTCTACACGAGAATATCTAATTACTAGAATATTTGTTTTCTTATCAAAGAATGTCCACCTTAAAAACATAAAAAGCCCCTTTACAAGCTGGTCAAAATGGGATGTACAAGCACTGGATATCTGCAAATCAGATTCACAAAAAAATAAAATAAACAAAAAAGAAAGAAACAATAAGGAGCAATTTATTACACAAAACAGAAAACATACAAGTACAAAGAACAGGTGTGATGGACAACCATCCTAATATTAAAAAACAATGTCAACCTAAAAGCTTGAGCTTTCGGGTTAAACTCAATGAATAATTTTATATTACTCTCTAATACACATTGTCAAGTGAAAGCCATTAAGGTTTGAAACTTGCACAAGCCCACCACTACCATGTGTTGAGATTCGATCTTTTAATTGCTTGGTCATTAAAGTTCTGATACCATGTTAAACAATCATCTCACTCAAAACCTCAAGCAAGCTTTTGGGTGAAGTCTAATGAATGGTTTTATATTAATCCCTAACACCTAATAGACCCACAACTCATTGGTAAAAGGACTTGTGCTAAGGAGCACCTCCAGTCAAGAATTGGGCCTCACAATCACTAGCCAAGGTGTATTTCTCTCATGCCTAATGATGGTATAGGTGGAACACTCATATTCAAATCCTTCTATTCTGACATCATCAGAAACAAACTTCCCAGTAAAAAGTAAAGACTTGTACAGAATATGCATATGCAATGTTAATCCCATCAATACGCACCCAACACAATTGCTTCCGCTCAGATTTATTAATGCCAGAAAACCTAGCAGTCTCAACACATAATCCAAGTTTCAAATAAACAAATGAAAGCAATCACATTCCATGTCCAAATTAGAACACGATGCAAGGCATAAAGCACCCAAGGCCTCAAGCCTAAAGCAGGTAGTACAAAGGGAGCGAGCAAGGATTTTCTTTAAACTTGCTAACCACACCTCTATTATTAGTCATGAAAACAAATCCCCCGATCTATATTTATAAGCACATATGCACATACATACAAAAAATCAAGCCATGCTTATCACAACAGGCTCTTGCTCTTTACAATACAAAATTGATTATATTAATCCTATTTAAGAACAAATGCAACTCTAAAAGAAATCAGATGCTGCATAATCGTATCACAAAAAGAAATAACAAAATCAATTCACATAGACACAATCTAACATTCAAGGAGGCATTCATATTAAAAATAAAATTCCAACAATGTCATTTCACAAAACCAATTTTTAAATAATAATAATTATTATCAAAGCCCCACAGTAGACTATAAACCAAATCTTATAAAACACCACCAAAAACATAAAATCCTCCATCCCTTCACAGAGACAACAGAACAGCATTCACTCGCTGCTTTTTTATTAAATGGAATCACAAATCAAACCAGATCCAAAACCCATAATTTATTTGACTAGTCCACTAATAAACCAAATCCCTAACTTAACCCTAAAAGCAATATCTAGGGTTTCAATAACCAAACGAAATAATCGCTCCATGAAACAGCATCAGACCAATCATTACTTCGATTACCGCTCTTAACCTCCACAGATCAATCCTTATTAGCTCTCGCATAAATCCCCCAGTCAAACACGCGATTTATTATTTTATTCTAATTATAATCTCAATCTCAATTTTGAATTTCCTTCTTGTCCTTTGGTTGCAGAGATAAAATACCACTTCGAACAATAAAAAAACAACAAATTAAAAAATAAATTAAATTAATGAGTTAAAAATGGATAACTGAAGTTGAGAGAGAAATTGTTTTTTCTGTTACCTATTAAGAGCTGCTTTTGAATCTAACAAATAGTGCAGAGAGGGAGGCTGGCTATACAGAGAGAAAGTAAGCGCTTAAAAGCGAATGCAAAAATATGAGAGAATACAGTCTGTGGTTGTGGCTTTATATAGGAAACGAGACCCCTCTAACCGGCCGGTTTTTTCTCTGTTCATCAATAGTTTATTCCATAATACACATTTTTTTAATTGTTTTTTTATCATTTCAATGCAATCATATTTACTAGAAATGCCCTTGTTTCCATCTATTTACCTGGGATCGATGAAGATGGATGAGGGGTGATACGGGTATTCGGTAATTAATAGTTTTGGCAGGTGGGTTGTTTGCGTGCATAACACTTACACGGAAGAATCTTGTGCTTGAGCCCATAATGGACGTCGGTTCCATGGCTAGGTGGAGCCTGGTGATTGCCACGCCTATATAGGGGCATCCATGGGTCTGATTGGCTATGTCTGTGAACTTTATCAGCGTAAAATGTGACACGTATTAAGATGGAAACGTTGGATTTTTTATTATTAATTAATGAGATTTGAAGGGTACTTTAGGTGTCTGCTGATTTTAAATAGGAGAGAGGTACTAATAACCCACGTGCGCCGAAAGAAGAGGGAATGCACAGTCCTGTCATTTTGACAAATTCATGTGCTTAGGTCAGGGGTTAGGAGGTGTGTTTTCTCGAAATTGTCATTAGGGCATTGGAGAGTGTATTGCACGGTTGATTGGTGTGTGTGGGGAAGCACTGGGTTTTTGTTCGTATTTAGGAAGGAACGCTTCTCATTGAGATTTCTGTTGCTATCTGCAACTTGTTGGTTCCTTGGTGAGTTTATTGAAAATTTCACTTTTAGCCGAGCGTGTGCTATGGCGGTGTCGTGATCCGTGAGATGACAAAATAAAATGAACCGCGACGCATATAGCCCATACGGGATGTGGCTAGGATGAAAACCAAGGGCAATTTCTCCGAATTAATTAGTATGTTTTTGTTTTTATGGGCAAGCATTTTTTGCGCTGTTTTTATTTGAAAAAAATATTAAATTTATATTTTTTATAATTTTAATATGCTAATATTAAAAAAATATTTTTATAATATTTGATTAAAAATATTTTTATAAAAATATCATATATCAAATTATTAAACATACTTAAAATATATCAATTAATCTTTAATAAATCAAATTAAAAATGACTCGAATTGGGGAATAATACTGCTTGTTCAAAGTTTGAGGAGATATCCTCCAAGCTTATATTATTTTATTATATTTATTAATTATTTGACTTGTGGTATGTTGTAAGTTAAATAAATTTTTTAAAATAAAAAATTAAATATATAAATTTTTTTAATATATTTTTTTACACGAAAAAATTTAAATATAAATTAAATTTTTTATACATATATTTAATCAAATAAATCGATAATTATTTATTTTAATGGATAAACATAAAGGTAATTAATAATAATAAAATATAAAATTAAAAAACAATTATTAAGATATTTAATATTGAAACACGAGTATTTATTTATTTATATTTAATAACTTTATTTGTTATATTAATTTTTTATTTAATTAAATAATAATAGAAATAATTACATATATGAAATCCGTTAAAAAAAAAAGAAAAAAAATATGCAATACTGCACATGTAGAAAAATTATGCAAAAATAAAAATCTTGTATTTTTTAAAATAAATTTTATTTTTCAGAGGGGAAAAAATAATTTTGCTATTCCTCGGTAAATTTGAAGAATACCCTTCAACTCAACCACAAAATAATAAAATCACACGAAAAAAAAAAAACGAACAAAGAAAAATTATTTATTTTAATGGATAAACATAAAGGTAATTAACAATAATAAAATAAAAAAATAAAAAAATAAAAAAATTTAATTAAGATATTTAATCTTGAAACACAATTATTTATTTATTTATATTTAATAACTTTATTTGTTAGATTAATTTTTTATTTGATTAAATAATAATAGAAATAATGACATATATGAAATCCGTTAAAAAAAAAAGAAAAAAAGTATGCAATACTGCACATGTAGAAAAATTATGCAAAAATAAAAATCTTGTATTTTTTAAAATAAATTTTATTTTTCAGAGGGGAAAAAATAATTTTGCTATTCCTCGGTAAATTTGAAGAATACCCTTCAACTCAACCACAAAATAATAAAATCACACGAAAAAAAAAAAACGAACAATGAAATGTAAAAACGTGAACAATGTTTTTGCTGAAATGATTCTCCCACAACTGTTAGAGTTTTTTATAATATTTAATTAGCTCCGCTCTAAGAGTCCAAGATTTGATTTACATCCTGAAATGGGATTGTTAAGAAAAACTTCAAATATTTTAAGAAACGATCTGGGACACGTAATGCAAATTTAAGGTACTGTCAGGATTGCAATGAGCCCCCCC